CCCTAGACTAGACTCCAAAGTCCAGCATTCAAAATTCATTACACAGCTCTCCTGGCTAAGCCGTCCAATGAGGACTTACCAAGTCACCCCAGCACAGACGCTGCCTTTTTCTCTACAAAAATCCATTCCTGCCAAAGGCACCCTTGCTGTCTGCCTTTGCCCAATCCAGAGGCAGTGCCCCACACCCTCTTGCTCGTCTAGGGTGTTATAGATGCCCTCTGTACTGAGAACTTGGTGTCTAGGTGTGTAATGTACCTCCCCGAGGGGCCACTCCTTCCCATATATGTTTTAAGCATCCCCTCCATTCTCAGGGCAGCCATGTGCATTGCTGTCCATTCCTCATGCCCGGCTCTCTCTGAATCAAACTGGGAGTTGACTTAAACATAATTTCTGCTTACTTACAAATTTCCCTGGTGGGCAGTTCCAACGGAGTAGGGATGTCCGCTGAGTTCACAGCACACTGTCCTCTTAGCCTTCGTGGGGTATGGTCAGTGTTGACCTTCAGGGACGGCTCTGTCTCTCCTTCCCAAGATGAGCACCCATGTCTTCCTCCACCCTTGTCTTCACAGATGCCCCTTCTCTCTGCAGAAGGCAGCTGCTGTCCACGTGTGCCCGATTTGGAGCCAACGGTCTCTAGCAGCTCCCAGAAACCTCCATGGGTCAGTGACCATGGCTCTCTCCTAGGTCCAGTTCCCTCCAGAAAGGCGGGGGGGGGGGTCCAATGATCCAGGAGGACTGTGCACATCAGTCCTCTTCTGTGGCTGTCTCCTTGAGTTGTCCTAGGAGTGGTGCAGGGCAGAGGCTCAGCGCTGGCACCACTGCAGTAGCCTGAAAGCTCTTAGCTCCTGCATTGCTGAGACCTTGGCCTGGCTCAGGTGCCTCTGTGTGAGGTTGTTGTGACCCAGAGTTGTTGTGAGGGTTGGGAGGATGCAGACAGGCTGCCTGTGAGTGTCCTTGCTACTACAGGGCCAGGGAAGCTCCGGAGATGAATGTACGGGCTAAAGAGGAAAATGGAACCTTAGGGTTAGCAAGCAGGCAAGATGGACAGGGACTCAAGGGGGCCACGAGGATGGAGATGAACCCAAAGAGGCACCGTAGCAGTAGATGTAGATTGTGGGTGGGCAAGGAGCGGGCACTGGCAAGAGGTACCCAAGGGTGAAGAGGAGAAACGTACTAGGATGCTCTTGTAGGTTGTAAAGTAACCCCCAAGCGTTTTCTGGACACTGGTGAGGAGAGATGGGTATTTATGGCTCAGGACAGGACAGCATGGCTGGAGGGAGGGGATTCAAAACTTCCCTGAAAGTGGCTTCCTGTTGCTCAGGACTGGCAATAGGTGGTCGGGAAGGCCAGGTGTGGACAGCTGGCTTCTGCCCTGGTTCCTGATTCTAGGTGGTCCCAGAGGGTTAGCCCCAAAAGACAAGCAGGGGTTGGCGAGATAAGAGGGTCACTGTGAGGCCAGACCGAGATGCAGCAAGGCGCGTGAGGCGGAAGTCTGTAGCTTGGACCTCTGGTGTCACACGCTTCTGCCTCCGCGTCTGAGTCCTGGAAAGCCCCAGGCTGCTGCTCTCTGTCAGCACACCCCAGATCTCTATTCTCTGTGAAGCTGCTAGCCTCACTGTCCAGCCCACCTCCTCCATGACAGCTGCAGCGGGAGCCCCCTCCCCCATCTCTTCCGGCCTGGCTCTGATCTGTCTCTGGTGGTCAGCCTCCTCCTCACGTCTTATTTCTCAGCGGTTCCCTGAAGGGTGACCTTGGAGTCTATTCCCTCAGAGCTACTCTTTCCACACAGCACACAGAGTGTGTCTGTGTTCATGGCTGGCATTGAGCGGGCCTGACGGCTCAACATGTTTCCTTAGCAGAGGGCACCCTTCCATCTCTGTCGTCTTCATCCTTCAGCAGCTCATCTGTCATGTACAGATGCACAGTCTTGAACACGGAACCATGGAAGCCTGGCATTGAGAGTGTGTTTCCCCACTAGGGAAGCTTGGTGTCGGACTTCAGGGTGATTGAGGGAGACCATTAGAATGAGTCAGGACCTCGTCTTCCTCTCTCAGAAATGAGATCCCCTTCATTCCACTTCCCACCTTCCCGGCAAGAGAAAGAAGAAATACCACAGGGGAAACTCCAGATGCTGGAGAATGTCCCGATGGGGGTCAATCCACCAGGGGGACAGCAAGGGATGGGCAGCCCCTGCAGAGGTCAGGCTGGCACTAGGGAAAGTCCTCTAGAGGATGGCTAGGTGACAGGGATAGGATCTGGGTAGAACCTGTGGCTTGGGTCTTCCGCCCTTTGGAGATCAGAGTCTTGGCATGGGTATGGGTGTCTGTGATCAGATCCATGCTGTCTGAGTTTCCCATCTTTGGTTGGGAGAAGGGCTGTACTCAGGGTACCCTGCACAACCTCTCAGCCTCCCCTGAACCAGGTGGGCACCCAGCAGGAGACTGGCCTCAGGGCCTCTGGGTTTAGAGTCTGGTTAGGGCAGCCAAAGGGATCTTGAAGGCGGGGAGGGATCTTAGAGTAAGTACACGGGGACAGGAGGCAAAAGCCCATGGATGTTGGTACCTCTCCACCTGCCCAGTGGCTGAAGTGAGGGGGTTAAACCAGCAGGCAACAGCCACTAGTGAGTGCTTGCTTTGAAAGTGGGTAAGGCCTGGATCCAGCCTCTGCTGTCTGGCTGGTCACTGGCAGCCTGAACAGAGCTTATCTGATGATGGGCACAGGATGGCCTGGGTTGGATGAGTGGCCTGTCATCCCTAGTTTTCTTTCCATTTTACATGGTTGGAGAGTCATATGGAGCAGGAATGGGTCTCACCAAAGGACAAGCCCCGTGCACAGATAACATGGCCCCTCTGCTGGCATCTGGTGGTGGAGGCGGTGAGCAACTGGGCATTCCCCATTCAGCTAGGTACTACAGGGTGTCAGTAAGTCCTGCCTCTTGCTGTGTCCCAGGTTCCAGACTTGATGATGACCTCTGATTGTGTATCTTCTGGGAATGTGGCTTGGGAGTTTTGGGCGGGGGGGGGGGGCTGTACCGAGTTAGGGAATCTCATCAGAAGCCTCTGGCCTCCCCACCCCCCCCTGGGGCATGTTTCTGAGAGTCAGGAGACATGGACACATACCAGCAGCCCAGAGCCTTCTGTATGTTCTGAGACACCCATGAGCTGTAGGGCTTTGGGCATTTTCCCAGGGCTCACTTGTGGGATGGGGTACAGGGGCTGCTTCTTCTGGTGAGAATTTCATGAAGGCATCCACAGTCTGACCCCTGTCTGGTCCCCCACTTCAGAGCTACCTCCCCAGTGACCCAGCTTGGAGTCAACCACAACCTCTGACCCTAGGCCCAGGAAGCTTCGGCATGACATAGCAAGCGCCTCTGTTCATACCCGCTTAGAAACTCTGCTCCCGCCCTAGTACCTAGCTTTTCCTCTCTGGGCCTTCAGGTGTGGCCTGAGGGCATTAGTGGCTGTAGCCAGTGTGATCTTTACCAGTGGACAGCCTTGCAATGCTGGCTGACCTCAGTGCCTGTAGCTTGTATTGCCAGGAACTTGGTAGTGGCGTGTTCCTGACCCCATGTTCTGCGTTTACTTTCTATGGCTGGCCATCACGCACTGCCTTCTACAGACAGAGGTACACAGGTGGCTCTGCAGGATAGCCTCTGCAACATACAGCACTCTTTGGTAACCCTCTGGGGTGGGATTCTGGTTAACTTTATGTCAACTTGACACATGCTAGACACATCTGAAAGGCGGGGACCTCAACTGGAAAAAAAAAAGCCTCCATAAGATCTGGTCAAAGGGCGTTTCCTTAGTGATTGAAGGGGGGCAGGGAGGGCAGCCCATTGTGGATGGTGCCACCCCTGGATTCTATAAGAAAGCAGGCTGAGCAATCCATGGACAACAAACAAGCCAGAAAGTGGCACCCCTCTGTGGCCTCTGCATCAGAGTTCCTGTCCTGACTTCCTCCTGTGATGGAGTATGGTGTAGAAGTGTCAGCCAAGGAAACTCTTTTCTTCCCAAGCTGGTTTGGCCATGGTGTTTCATCTCAGCAATAGTAATCCAAATTAGGACAGCTAGTCAGGACCCAAAAAGAGCCAGGTGTCTTGTAGGCTGGCCCACAACACTTCCTGGAACAGGGTGTGCTCTAGGTGTGGGTGAGACTTGGATATGAGGGAAACCAGCCCAAGGCCCGGGGTGCCAGCCAAGCCTATGAGGGTAGTGACCAATTTGGTTAGATGGAGCAATCATCTGTGGCTAATTAACAGGCAGTAGAGGGGAGAGAGCAAACGGCACAGGTTGAAGGTTCTTGAGGAACTTGATTTCCTGTGTTATGTTGTATTTGCTCAGTATTCTTTGGAGCCTTGGTCTATAGTAGACTCCACCTTCAGGCTTACTGAGATCCATGATCAAAGAGGATGGCTCTGGGGCCCAGCATAGGACTTTGTAGTAAGAAACCCCATCCACATCTGCAGGCAGGAAAATAAGATTACTTCTGTCTGTCCTCTCTCAGGGACAGGTGGGGAGGCCCAAGGCTGCTCCAGGACGATAAGGAGTCCTGCTCCACCCTTCAAGGATAAAGGTTGGCTCCTGTTCCTAGGGCTGCGTGTACACAGAAGAGTTAGGCTGAGGAATTGGGCTGTGGCAAGTGGTTTTGGGGGATATCCCTGCCATAGTGAATGGGAAATGACTAGAAGCTCCTGGGGGAGGGCCCTGTCAGAGTTGGAGAGTGTTGGGAAGTGAGTCCATAGATAAAGTTCCCAGCTGGCTGAGGCTGAGGCCCATCTGTCAGAAAACTCAAGGGGAGCAGCAAGGTATTTGAGGTGCCCTGGGAGACAGATGTAACTTCCACGGGGTGTTTATGAAGCCTGGGAGTGAGCAAACAGGGTCTCCATCGATCATGTTCCTGTACTTCCCCTCCCCCATCTCCTGCAGATATGCAGAACTCAAACTCTTTCATTTTCACTTTTTGCTGATGAGCTTAGAAGGGTGTGTGAGGCCCTGGCCCATCCGACTTCTGGTCTGCAGTGTCTTGATCAGGAACATGGAAACTCTGCCAGGATGGGTGTCTTTATCCCGGAGCCAGGTCCCTTCATGCTGGTGAGTCCCTGAGCTTTTCCTGTCCCCAAGCTCTGTCCTCTGGAGCCCAGCTCCAGCCACAGCCATATCCTGCCCCGAGATTGGCCACCTAGCCTTTAGCTCATGGGACTCTTTGCTGCTGGATGTCCAGATCTCTGGACATGACTAAGGACAACCTCATGTTGGGAGACCACAGGCAGGCCCACCCCAGGGGGCTCTACTCACAGACACCTGCTGTGGCTTTCATTCAAGAGCAGGTGGTGGTGCCCTGGGCATGGTGGCCCTTGGCAGGACCTGGCCTGGAAGAGCCTCCGGGCAGGCCCTGTAGCAGGAGACTGGCCCTATGCAGCCCTGTCCTGAGGATGAGTGTGTTCATCCAGGGCAGGTAGACAGCAGGGCAGGCTAGCAGGAGCCAGGGTGTCTCCCAGGTTTGCTCAAGTAGGCAGCTGACCCCCATCCAGACACAGCTGCTCTCTCCTAGGATCCGGGAGAGACAGCTGTTCCCACCCCCTGCTGGCAGCCTCTGAGTCCAGCTCTAGCTGACCCTGCCTCCTTCCCAGGTCTTATACTGTCAGGCCCAGGAGGAAGGCAGAAGAGAGGTTAAGCGGGCGGGCAAGGGCCCTGAGACTGTCCCAGAGAGGTACTGAGAGGCTGCTGCTCCCCTGCTGCACAGAGCAGAGCATGAACTGGGGCCCTGGGCCACCGGGGAGAGGGAGCCATAGGGATGGAGGCAAGGCCTCCCCTCCCACACTCATCCCCTCTCACAGGTGTGGTGTGTCTTCCTGTTGAACTTCCTGGAGTGTATCTCTGTCCAGCCCTTGTGCAGAGAGGAGGAGTTTTCTGTGGGGGGCGAGTGCTGCCCCATGTGCAACCCAGGTAGGAGCAGCTCCAGGAGCCAGCGCTGTGCCAGGGAAGCTACTGCCCTGAGTCTCTCGGCCTCTGGGTCCTCAGCCCGATGGCCCAGCAGATCCAGGATGTATGGTGGGTTTTCACTCCAGGGACAGCCCCAGGCAGGCTGTATCTCTCAGCCTCCGGGACCTTTGCTTTTACACTGTGTGGGATGGGCCTGGGGCACAGGGCAAGCCCAGCATAACCAGAGGCTGAGACATGGCCAGGGCTATGGGCAGGGCCAGTCCTGGGTGAATCAGGTCCCACGCTGTAACTTTCTGGATGGCTCATCGGCGTTGGCACCAGGAGGCAGATGGTGCCACAGCTGCTGGAGTTCTGGGTGAGGGTGCAGGGTAGGCCTCTGCAGGCTGCCTCCCCCGGCGCCGGCCCGCCCACTGAGGAACTGTGCGGTCCTGGCCACAGGTTACCATGTGAAGCAACCCTGCAGTGAACGGACAGGCACGGTGTGTGCCCCCTGTCCCCCGCAGACATACACTGCCCATGCAAACGGCCTGAGCGAATGTCTGTCCTGCGGTGTCTGTGACCCAGGTAGGAACTCCTGGCCTGGTGCACCGGGACAGCTGGAGGCTGGGCGCTCTCACCACTCACCACCCACCTCTGATGGCAGACATGGGCCTAGTGACCTGGCGGGAGTGCTCCAGCTGGGAGGACACTGTGTGCCACTGCGTCCCAGGCTATTTCTGTGAGACCCAGGAGGGGGACCATTGCTCCACCTGCTTGCCACACACCGCCTGCCCTCTGGGACAGAGGGTACTACAGAGAGGTGAGCTGGACAACTGTAGGTTCCTCCTCTGAGTCCATTCTTGTCCCAGTGTCCCTGCTGCCTGGTGTTCAGAAACCCCTTCAACTCAGGGAACTCAGTAGGAGCGGAATCCTTGGCCACCCCCAGGCCACCCACACGAGACAAGTCCTGGTGGTCGAGAGTCGAGAGGGTACAGGTGAAGAGGAGACAGCAGAAGATTGGGGAGTCTGAGAGAAGAGGCAGGGGAGGGCAGGGGAGGGCAGGGGAGGGCAGGGGAGGGGCAGGCAGGGGAGGACAGGGGAGGGCAGGGGAGGGCAGGGGAGGGCAGGGGAGGGGCAGGCAGGGGAGGGCAGGGGAGGGGCAGGCAGGGGAGGGCAGGGGAGGGCAGGCAGGGGAGGGCAGAGCAGGGGAGGGCAGGGGAGGGGCAGGCAGGGGAGGGCAGGGGAGGGCAGGCAGGGGAGGGCAGAGCAGGGGAGGGGCAGGCAGGGGAGGGAAGGAGAGCTGGGGCAACTCCAGTGGCTCCCACTTCTGGTCTAACTTCAGCTATGGAGCCTCATCTCAGATGACTAGCAGGGAGCCTGACTTGTAGGGTAACAAATCTGGCCAGGACACCCAAAAGGGTTTATGGAGTGAAGGTACCAGGAGTTCTGGGTTCTTACATCAGACCCTTTCCTTATCCAGGATGTCCCGTAACTACCCAGCCCCTCTCACACATTCTCGGGGTGTCATCTCCCACCACCTCTTCCTCTGCCAGCCACAGAGCACCATGTGTTGGAAGGCTCCAGAACAGACAGATCCCAAGCCCCTCTCCAGGGAAGCCCAGCTCCCTGCCAGCTTGAGCCCAGTGTTTTCTGTGGTCTTTCTCTGACCCTCAGGTAATTACAGCCAGGACACTGTATGTGTCGATTGCCTGACCGGAACCTTCTCACCTGGAGGGAGTCAGGAGGAATGTCTGCCCTGGACCAAGTAGGTGGCCTGTACCCTAAGGAAGGGACTTTCTGTTCCCCTGGGACATGAGTGCCCTATGCCAGCAGTGCTCCCAGAGATCTCTGGGTTTTAGGCAGGAGCCACAGGTTGTGGCCAGTTCCCACCTGGGAGTTGGCTCCTGGGAGTTATGGACGTGGGCATGATTTCTTAGTTAAGGTTTCTATTGCTGTGAAGAGACACCATGACCACGGCAACTCTTATAAAGAAACACATTTAATCGGGGCTGGCTTACGGTTTCAAAGGTTTAGTCAGTTATCACCATGGTGCGGAACATGGTGGCTCACAGGCAGGCGAGGCGCTGGAGAGGTGGCTGAGAGCTCTATGTCTGGATCAGCAGGCAGTGGGAAGAGAGAGAGACACTGGGCCTGGCTTGAGCATCCGAGACCTCAAAGCCCCCCCCCCCCACAGATGCAATTCTTCCAACAAAGCCACACCCGCTCCAAGGAGGCCACGCCTCCCAATAGTGCCACTATGAGCCTATGAGGGCCATTTTCATTCAACGTGGTGACCTCAGGTGAGGTCACTTCTCCACCTGAGCCGGGACCCTTTTAAATGTGGGTCCCACACCTTATAGCTAACCTGAGAACTCAGGGTCTCTGAGAGCCGCTGTGCTTCTTTGGGTGGTCAAGTGTGGCTTCCCTAGGGAAGGGCACAGCGGCCCATCTTTCTGTCCCCATGTCTTGTCACTGCTGCTGGTTCATTGCCCAGCTTTGCCCCTGTCAACCTTCCTTGCTCTCCCTCCCTCCCTCCCTCCTTCCCTCCCCTGTTCCTTGCTCTTAGAGAGCAGCCATTTCTGTCCTGCTCCTTTGTTCCCTTTTCCTTTGTCTCCTTTTCTCCCCAGGAGGGCTTTGAAGACTGTGCTAGACCTTGGTCCCATCTCAGAGCTGTTGACCGCTTGAGTGGCTCTGACCTGTATGGACCCTGGGTCCCCCACAGAGCTCAGTGTGCCACCAGCCCCCAGCCTCGGTCTCCCATCAAGTCCCTGGGCTGCTGTCTCCTAGGTGCAAGGCATTGATTCAGAAAGAATCAGAACGTGGGACCAGCAGCACGGACGTCACCTGCTCCTTCTCCTGGCAATTCTACGTTATTTTGTCCATCCCTTTGCTTCTTTTGGCGGCTTTGCTGGTGGTCTGCATCTACATTCGGAGGGAAACACTGCACGCAAGTGAGCAACATCCCATCCTGTCAGGGCACAGGGCCCCAGGAGGAATCCCAAGAGTCCTTGCAGGGGCTGGGCCTCTCTGCACAATGGCTAGTGGTGGAGGCTTGCCCCAGAACCCAGCTGTGACTCTTCTTTCCCGCCCCCACATCCTCCCTCCTTTCTACCTTCTTTCCTCTCCACATTCATTCTTCTTCCTCTGTCTGAGCCACGCAGTGGCAGTGCTGAGCTGGGCACCAGAGCTGGGCTTGCAACCAGCTGGGAAGCTGTCTGTGGGCCTTCCCTGGGCTCAGGGAAGGGAGAGGAACACGGAGAGCCAAAGAGAGCCACACTCTCATCAGTGAGGAAGCACGTCCCCCCCCCCCACCGTGAGCTCACCCCTGGGTGTTGCCCGTGTAGGTGGCTTCTCCTCTAGGCTCCGAGCTGGGTCAGGCAGCCCATCCCCATTCCCTGCTCATGGGAGTATCCAACCCTAACTCTGTGAAATGAGTGAGTGCTTGACTTTGGCCTCCAGGAAGGTGGGCAGACCTGCTCTTTTACCTGGCGGGCCTCCTGTGTGTCTTCCTTCACACATACCCTTCTCTTAGAGAAGGTCAGACTGGGGGTAAGCCACACAGCTGAAAGCCCAGGATGTGGGGTTCTCCGTTGCGTGTGCCCGTCGGCCTTGGACAGTCCTGCTTCAGCCCCTCTCATGACCTGCTGTCTTTGTGTTACAGGACTGGTGGTGGCCCAGGGACTGGAACCTTTGCAGGTATCATTGCTAGAGGTGTTTGGGTCGGAAGAGGAGGTTCCCTCAGGATGAAGGCCCGAACTCCTTGGTCTGTGCTGAGATTTACATGCTCCCAAGAGCCAGACAGTGCCCTGCTTGGTGCCTGAGAGGCCGTACTTCACCCTGAGTTTCTCTCTAGGAGGGGCAGAAAAGAGACAACGCCGTCAAGTTTCCAGTCACCGAGGTTGGGTTTGCTGCGACTGAGGAAGAGACAGCTTTCAACTGTGTGACTCCAGTGTGACCAGACACCTAGGAGGCCCTGGTGGGGAATTTCCACGTGCCTGTGGAGCGTGGCTGCTGCCCTGGGCTGCTCCAGCACCACACAGCGGCAGAGATATGGTTTTAGCTTGGAGTTAGGTAGTAGTTGCTTTGCCATTCTTATAGTCAAATGGGGTCGAGGGGCCTCTACATTTCCCCATCTGTTCCCATGTGCCCCTCCATCCAAATCCCTGGAGATGGTAACCCAAAACCTCCAGTATCAATAACAGCTACCACTGGCCCTACTGCCAGCTCTTCCAGTCAGCTCAGAACAGCTCAGTCTAAACCCTCGGCTTCTGCCTGGATAGGTTTAAGCCCAGGCCTGGTGATACTGAAGGGCTGGTGGGCCCTGCATCTCGGAGCTGGGGTGAGATGTGAGCAAGGCTTTAGGAGATTCGTTTATTTTGGGGGTCTGAGCTATATTCTCAGCAATACTTTCATTTTTATTTTGAAACAGAGTCATATGAAGTTGTCAGGACTCATTCTGGACTCATCCCATATCTCAGGCAAGCCTTAGACTTGATCTACCTCAGCCTCTCACGTAACTGCGATTACCTCTGTGGGCCTCCAGGCTGGGACTAGATGATTTTCTGATCTTTTCGTGTGTGTGTGTGTGTGTGTGTGTGTGTGTGTGTGTGTGTGTGTGTGTTTGTGTGTGCATCTTGAGCCAGCTTGGGGCTCACCAATTCAACTAGACTAGCCTACCAGTGAGTCCTTGTCTCTGTCTCCTCAGTACTGGGAGAAGACATCACTACATCAAACTTAATGACTGAATCATTCTTCGTCCTCAGAATGATTTTCTGAATTATATTTGTATTTGTTCTTTTTTCCCCTACTTGTTAGAAGAAATAAATATTTTTGTTACATGCCCTGTCTCTATGTAGACATCTTGTGTCTCATCAAATACTCGTCTGTCCTGTGACTGTAATGACGTCTGCTCCAGGGTGACTCTGTCCCTGTGTCATGAGGTCACTTGGTGAGGGGCATCCCCCGCAGGAGGCACAGTCACACTCACTGATGTGATCCCACTTAGTGGCTTTGATTCCGACACTGCCACACTTCCCAGCCCTGTGTGCCCATAGGAGTCTTCGGACAGTTCGCAGCGGTCCATGGGAGTGACTTCCTGCCGAGCAAATGCTGAGTCCCGGTCTCCCTTGTCTCCCCGAGCCAGCCCTGGCACCAGTTCCAAGTAACGGTTGGCATTTACAAGCGTGGTGTCACTGTGGCGAAGTGTGCCCATTCTGAGGCGCATAGTGGTCAACCTTGATTGTCAGCCTGGTTGAGTTCAGAGGTGCCTTTGAAGGCCAGTAAGACACATTCAGGAGAATCTCCAGCGAGGGTTTGCTGAGGGGAGATTCCCGTCCTGAGCACTGGCACAGCCATCCCATGGAGTCAGCCTAGATGAAAGAAAAGGGAGAGAGAAGCCCATGAGTACCAGCATCCCCTGCTGCTCACTGGCCACTGTGCCGCAGGCAGCTCTGTCACACCACTGTGGAGACAGTGAGCAGAGACACACCCTTCCTCCTTCAAGCGCTTACCGCAGGGATGGATTGACTCATTGATGCCACATGTCACAGCTCTGTATAGCTGCCATTTTATCTGTCTTCGTTGCTGTTCTACTGTTGTGAAGAGACACCATGAACAAGGCAAGTAATAAAAAGGCAACGTTTGATTGAGGGCTCGCTCAGTTTCAGAAGGCTAGTCTGTTATCGTCATAACAGGAAGCAGACAGACAGGACACTGGAAGAGTAGCTGAGAACCTTATAACCTCACCCACAAGCAGGAGAGAGAGAGAGAGAGAGAGAGAGAGAGAGAGAGAGAGAGAGAGAGAGAGAGAGAGAGAGATCTTTGTAAGGAGTAAGTTTTTCTGCCTGCTGCTGGTCTTGTTCCCGCCGCCGCGCCAGCCCCAATTAACACACAGAGACTCTGTGTTAGATATAATTCTGTTGGTCAGGTATTAGTTTCTTATTGGCTAGCTCTGTCTTAAGTATTAACCCATTTCTATTCATCTAAGTATTTCCACATGGTCTCATCTTACCGGAGAGGCGGCTGGCATCCTGCTCTCTCCAGACTCTCCATCTTGACTCTTCCTTATCCTTCCTCTTTCCTCCTTGTCTCCTAGTCCCGCCTGTCTTGCTTTCCTATTGGCCAACAGTGCTTTATTCATTAACCAGTATGAGAAACATATTTACGGAATGGCATCTCCCATCAGATCTTGATCTTTTAAAGTCCACCCCCAGAGACATACTTCCTTCAACAAGGCCACACCTGCAATTCTTCCCTACAGTTCCACTCACTGGGGCCCAAGTATTCAAAAACATGAGCCTATGGGACTATCCTCTTCCAAAAAACCACAACCTCCGTGTCTATCTTTCTCACCTCTGTGTCTATCATCCATCTATCTCCTCTTTATCATCTATCCTTTCTTATCTTTCTATCTTTCATGCGTCTATCTATCTTCTTTATCCCATATGACTTTGCCACTCACCAGAAGAACTTGTGTGCTGTGTGTTGATGCTAGTGGCTAAGGGATTTGAGTTAGGAGGGAGAGGTGGGCAGGCTGTGCAAGTGCCTGCCGTTTGCTATGATGCTGATGGATTGTAATCAGACTGTAGAAGGAACATGCATTAGTGTCTCACCAAGAGGACATCCGAACTTGGTGGTGGTCAAGAGAGCCAGTAACGCAGAGGGATCTGTCCACCAAAGAATCATACCAACTTTATAAGTGCAGGCACAGACGCAGCTTGGCCCAGTGTAGCGGCAGACCTACCTGGCCTGTCTCCCAGCAAAGTGAAGGGGACAGGGCCTCTAGAGTACAATACAGGGCCTTTTGTTGGGACTCGATGTGCTTGATGCCCCTGGCGTAAGCTCAAGATCAATCAGGTGGGCCAGGCTTGATTGACGTCGTTTTTTAGCCCTGGTCATTTTCTAAGCTCTTCGTTCTGATCTGAGTTCAGGGTTCTGCCACTGAGGCCCACATTCTGCCTCTAAGTCCCCGGCAAAGCGCCCATTGTATTGTTCTAGATCTGTCCAGGATGCCCTAGAATCGTGCCTAGTAATGGAGCTTTGAATTAACAAAAGAGACATTAGAATTCCTGGGAGGTGGGGAGAGGCTGTTAAGGTTTGGGCACAGCCCAATGTGTGGGCTTAAAATTTCAGAACAGAGACATGAGCAGGAAACACCCTGGGAAGTGGCAAGGTCAGGAATCACCAGATTGGATGGGGTCTGCAGATGGCCACACTGGGAAAAGGGATGGAGATCCAGTGACCTCTTCAGGTCCATCTCACCATTCCCAACCTGGGGTAGAGGTTGGAGTAGGGGCCAGAGTTTGCATTTAAGCAGTCAAGCCAGGGTCCCACCTACCACAGACCCACCATTTCCTCTCCTGTAAAGTGGTCTGGCCAATTGGAAGTCTCTTTCCAGAAGCTTCCCTTCTGGTGGTGGTGCCCTGGGCATGGTGGTCCTTGGCAAATAAAAAGTTTCTATACCCCAGTATGCCTGTCTACCAATGCAGCAATCCAAGTCAGACTAAATCAAACTGAATAGAAAAAGCCCACATTTAATGGATACAATGCTCCTGGATGGCCTTCCAGGCCCCCAGAGAGGAGAAGGGAGAACTAATAATCTGCTCTCTGGGGTTGGGGGGGCAGTTTAAATACCCTGTGGACATGATTTGAGCATCTCTGGGGAAGGGGAGTCATCATTTGGCGGGCTTTTTGAGATGTAGCAGGGTTTGGAGAGAGATAAGGGAGAGGTTAGGGGTAGAACTTCCACCATAACATCCCAGACTCTTTGGGTATGGATGTCAGGGCTGGGGTGAAGCTTTCACAGTAACAGCAGGCCCTGGCCTGGAAGAGCCTCCCGGAAGGCCCTGTAGCAAGAGGCTGGCCCTATGCAGCCCTGTCCTGAGGATGAGTGTGTTCATCCAGGGCAGGTAGACAGCAGGGCAGGCTAGCAGGAGCCAGGGTGTCTCCCAGGTTTGCTCAAGTAGGCAGCTGACCCCCATCCAGACACAGCTGCTCTCTCCTAGGATCCGGGAGAGACAGCTGTTCCCACCCCCTGCTGGCAGCCTCTGAGTCTAGCCCTAGCTGACCCTGCCTCCTCCCCAGGTCTTATACTGTCAGGCCCAGGAGGAAGGCAGAAGAGAGGTTAAGCGGGCGGGCAAGGGCCCTGAGACTGTCCCAGAGAGGTACTGAGAGGCTGCTGCTCCCCTGCTGCACAGAGCAGAGCATGAACTGAGGCCCTGGGCCACCGGGGAGAGGGAGCCATAGGGATGGAGGCAAGGCCTCCCCTCCCACACTCATCCCCTCTCACAGGTGTGGTGTCTTTGTAGTATCCTGCTGGCCCCGACCTCCACAATGATAGCAACTAACCCTAACTGGGTGACAACTGGCCTAGCTCTGGAGAGCTAGCATCTAGCCTAATCCATCCTTTTGTCCCCCTACATGAACTTTGTTTGGAACTTATAAAAACTTGGTTCAGGAAACCTGAAAAATACACTTGGCATTGTCTTCTTGGAGGCCTCATTCAAGTTGTTCTGAGTTGTTCTGGTGATCAACTGGCTAAAGTGTAAATATGGAGGAAAAATAACAATGCCCGGGGCTTAGGGAAGGTACTTCAGTTCTCAAAACTGGGGTCCCCTGCAGCCTCAAAAGGCTAAATTCATTCTTTAGTGTCCCTTGAGTTTTCTTTCGACAGACCCGCCTGAATCCACACCGTGCCTTCCGACTCATGTCACTGACCAGGCAAATGGCCCGAGCGAATGCGTGTGAGCCAGGTAGGAGCTCCTGTGGATGTGGATTGTGTCGAGACACTTTAGCTCAGGCCTTGGTTCTATGAGAGGGTCCTGAGGCTGGGGAAAATTCACTGGGCTATAGGGCTGACATTCCTGCTATTGCGAGCTGTTTTCAGGGCGTCCACCCCCATTCTATCTCCTGAGCTTCCACCTACACGGACATCACCTTACTGTCTGCTGCTCTTCTCTTCTCTCTGGTTGATGTGGGAGACGAGAGGCTCTCCCATGCTCTGTGTTTTGCCTGTGGAAGTGGATGAGCATCACTGGGGATGAATGTGGCCATTGCTTTCCTCCTTTATGTGATTTGTAAGACCCTCAGAAAGTGGGAGGGAAGCGGAGTCCGGGGGCCAGCCGTCCCCCGGAGAAGTGAGACCTCGTCTCCTCCCCTCCTCCAAACAACCCGGGACTTTTGTTCAGGGTGGGACCAAGGGTCTCAGGACACATCTGTCTCCCCCTGTGGTCCTATACCAAATACAAGTCCTGTGCAGGCACAAATTCAAATCAAACTCAGTCAAAAACACATAACATCAGACACATCAGACATACATCAAACATATAGGTTGTGAGCTCTATCTTACCTCCAACTGGCAGTGGAATTGAGTCTGGGGGTTGACCAGATCTCGGTGGGACCTCCAAAAATGTAAGACCCTCAGAATGAGGAATTTTCCAGTTTCGGTTGGTACCAGCAAGAACTCAATGGCCAGTCCAGTTGATGCAACATTCAAGAGGCTTTAATGAACAGGAAACGTTTGTGCAAACGGGCCCCCTCAGCACACAGGCTAGAGAGAAGCATTCTTCAGGCACAGGCATTTTTAAAAGGCAAAACCCACAA